ACGTCCAACAGCCACATCAGAAAGGTTTCTCAGTGTCCACAAAGCATTCGGGGTAACTTTAGAGAAATGTACATAGGAGGAACTTAAGCATCGCCTGATAAACTCCAGAGAAGTATCAGAATCAATAATATCTATTTTGGCAGGCGACCAAGCAGATAGCACTCTAAGGAGACGAGAAGCTGTCCATAGAAGTTTGTCATAGGTGGAGAAATGTAGAATTCTTAAGAGAGCTGGAATGCCGCCCTCATTTCTGATTGCACACTTTGTAGCTGTATCGCCGTATGAAAGTAAATACAGGCAATCACAAAGAATAGCTAAGAATTTAGGATTCAGCGTTCCAGGAAGATCAGTATTTAAATTCGTTAGACTATAACAAACTTCAAGGCAATTTGAAAGTTGCATATATTCTGCAACAGAAATTTTCAATAGCAGAACTAAATGGCCTAGGGCATTTGATCTGCGTACATTTTCTCGCGCAACGTTTCTGTTTAATAACAAATTATGTATAGCAGTCAAGCAATAAAAAAGTACCGACTCTATTGGAAAAGCCAAAAGTGGAGTAAAGACAAAGATATCATCGCCCTTGACAAATAAGTTCAGACCTTCTTCGGTTTGGGATATATAATAAATCACACCACTGAGACAGTGCAAAAGTTCAGGTTCCTCCTGAATGACTGAATTACTTAAAATGGCTGTGCGTATATAAGTAAGGATGTTGGGGCATGCATATAACAGGAAGGAAGTGTATCCACACTTGCAGATTTGAAATAAATATCCACAAGAATTTTGAAGCAAGCAAATATCAGGTTTTGAAAGAACAAAGGCAGCTTGGTTGATAAAAGCATGATGCATTTCACAGAGTGCATTAACGCCAGTGAAATTTTGGGTAATATTGTCTGAAAAATCGAAGGACATTGGGGAGTAACTTTCGGGGGTGCTTGAGCGAAAATCCAATCCAATTCCAGAATCTGAATTTGAATATGCTGTTGTACTAATAGAACCATCCTGCGAAGAATCATAATCTGTTTCTATTTCGTTAAAAGATTCGTCCTGGGAACCGTCATCCATGTTGGGAGGTAATAGAAGTACGATGGGTAGAAGGTACGAACACAAATAAGCGCCACAAAGAACACGAGGTAATGACCTTGATTTTAGTTAACATAATCAAATTAATAACCTATGGTTATGCAATGTAGTCTAAGTTTGATATCAACCTATTAAACAGTAATTTAAAATAAATTTTTTACTAAAAATTTTACTTAATACAATTAAACATTTTCATCATAATTTTTAGAGATAATAAAAATTCCTGAAAAAAATTTAATTATAGAGTTCACCACTTCCCTTGCACTTACTTACAAGTTAAACAATTATGTTTATAAATTGATAGTATAAAGTAGTATCATGCTCGTTGATGAGCATGATTTTAAGTTCACGTTAATAAAGGAATAGTGAGAATAGCTTTATAAAATTGATAGGGGGACCTTCATTCCGGATGAAAGTGCATGAAGAAGAGATTCGTTATTACATCTTACCAGATGATAATCAAGTTTCGAAACCACTTGATTATCATGCTTACAAGGTCATATTTTATTAACTCAACTATACTTATTTACCGACCTAGGCAGTTTGGGTCAGATTTTTTCTTGTCTTAATAGTTATTGAGGATCAGAACCTAAGAATTAACCTTTTGACAAGTCTGATTTAGGAACCCTCTTGTATATGGAGGCTAACAGGCACAAATAAATATACTCTGACAAGCAAGCAAAAATAACAGAACCAGTATGATAGAAAATTAACCAAACCACTCTATATCGATCTAGCTAGGTTTTTTATTTTTTAGCTTGATTAAGTATGATAGAGTTGGATAGTGTTTTTGCTGTATTGTTAACATGAGACTTTTACAAGATTGACAGTCAACTCTGATAATATCCATCACATGATGGACGAAAGCTCTGCACGTTTTCACCCAAAACGTTAGAGGAAGTCTCGTAGACTGCATTAACATGAATATCGTATGAAAGCAAACGACAGCAGTACAACGAGTTTTATCCGACCTCATCTGGTGAGATCAACCAACGAATATCTTCTTCCTGCACTTTGATTCGAAATGAAGTTATCTAAGAAGATTGATCAAAACCAAGTTTCTCTTCGTATCTAAAGCTACTTAAATTTTCGATCTTTCTTCCATACCCTTCTTTCTGTGATTTTTCACCCTCAAATATCAACAGATTTCCTAGATGATGGTTTCTAGTTTTTCTAGATCTCAAAGTTTCAAGTATCGTATATTCGACATTCTGCTAGTCTTGAGTTTTTTTATATTTTCAAGTCAGAATAGGAACAGCCTATTGAATCTTGAACTTTCTTTTATTATCAACATACGTAGCAAATCTTTGTGTAAACCTCTTATAAAAGCTACTAACTCTAAAAACATGACATTGTTGTGAAATTGAGGTTAAACCAACGTCATGAAACTATGATGACTAAGAATCTACTAGCGGCGACGCAATTTACGTTTCTTATTATTCTTCATTTCCTTTTTACATTTTATATGAAAACGCGTCGCTATTTTCCGATAGAAAAACACAAAACTATATGTAAATGAATTTTGACATTTAAACTAGATTAATCAATTTTATTATAGATAACTTTTTTGTGTGTTTAAATATTTATTGTTATGGAGATGGCTTTTGAGCACGCTTTGATGTCGTAATTTTTTTAGCATGGCCAGCGAGGCGTATCCAGTAGATTTTTCTTTCATGCAGCTCACTTGTATTTCCGGTACAAAAATACTTCTTATTTTTTTAAATTAAAGATGCCCTTAAAGATAAACCAAGGGTCACTCCAAACTCAATAATCAGTCCAATAATCAAGAACGGGAAATCGAAATCCTTCTATCTCAAACTAAATAACAATCTCATAGAAAATTTCGACGATATTTGTGAATTGGTCAAAACATTTTTTTATGATTTCAACTTTTTATCATGGTTGGACATTTCTTGTAACAAAATTTCAACTATTTCCAAAGTAAATTCATATGTTAGTCATACTTTCTAGCAACTTCTTGAGTTATCAAACTTAAAAATATTGATTCTACATGGAAATAAAATTTCTTCATTTTCTGAGGTCGAAAAACTGCGAAAACTGGT